CGGGGAAGGCGCCGGGGGCAGGCACGGGAGCCCGGCCCCAGCTCGCAGACCTGGCGGCCGGCCCGCGCCGAGCGGAGCGGTAAATTGCAGGGGAGGGCTGCGATTATGTCTGTGCCCAAGCATTTCCTCTCCTTCCGGCTCCTCCAGCTCAGCTCATCCCACCGCTCGAGCCCCCCTCGCCTGCTCCCTCCTCCGCGCCCCTGGCACGGCCGGTGAGCTGCGCCCACCGGGGGTCCTGCGCCACCGCGACAGGCCCGCGGACCTCGGGCGCTTCTCCCCTTTGGCCGGCAGCCGCCTGCCCTGGAGCGCGTCTCCGGAACCCCCACCTCGTCCCTCTCCCGGCTGCGTCGCGGCAGAGGGCGGCGGGATGCTCCCGCTCTCACGGTACCTGTACCCCCGTGCCCAGCCGGCCACACGAGCACGCTCCATCCCTCCGGCGGTGCCTTCGTCCCTGCGAAGCGGGCAGGGAGCCCAGCTCTGCCTCTGGGCAGGGACACGGCTTCGGAGCACAGCTGAGCCGGGTGCCGCGGGCACACACGTTGCCGGGGACAAACAGCACCAGCGGCCGCAAAACCTGCTCCCGAGCCAGCTTCTTGCCACAGAGCTGCCCTGCCATGGCTACTCACGTTTGAGGGAGGTGTCAGAGCTGCTTGCCCTCCAGGATGAGAAGAAACAGCAGAAATGCGGGCAGCCGAACCCGGTCCAAGCCCTGCTCGAGGCTAAAGGGAACCTGGGGAGGAGACTGTATTCACAGCACTGGGAAGTTGCATGAAACCTGGAGCTGGGGCTCCAGATCCCCAACCCCACTGCGGGGCACATAGTTTGCAGATGCTTTGGCAGCAGTCACCAGGAGTCCTGCCGGCCCAGCTGCCCAAGGTGCGGGGTGCTGCCACACACCCTGGTGCTGCTGGGCACTTGCGCTGCTCCGAAGGCACTGTGGATCTGAGGGTCTGGGGGCCCGGAGATGCTTCAGCCCAGTCGTGTTTGTGGTGAGGCAGGGGCTGACGGTCCTGCTGCCCACACCGCACTGCTGCCCCGGGCCCTGGCAGCCTCCCAGGCCCCTTATATCCTGCCTGCACAAGGAGGGGGGAGATGGGGTCCAGCCAGATTGCTAGGAAAAGGGCTGGTGTGGGCAGACAGGGCAGCCGGTGGGATGGTCTGGAGGCACAGGGGGCCATGGTACGGGGAGGCCCCACTTTCCAGCGGGGTGCAGAGCTCCCTGCCTGGCTAAGCCCAGGGGACAAGAAGGGGCCACACAGCAAGGACAGCCACCGGGACAGCCCTAGGGCCAAAACAGGTGCTGTGGAGCCACCGGCCCCAGGCCAGGAGGGCGAGCGAGGCCAGGAGAGGCTGTGCCAAGTGAAGCATAGGCGAAGGCAAAGTGGCCGACGTGGCCCATGCCAGCTGGCGCCCAGCGTGGGCTGGGGACGCACCCTGGGTGCACTGGCCTGGGTGCTGCACGGCCCCAGAGGCCACGTGCCCTGGCGAGGCCAGCTCTGCCCACAGCGCTGGGGATGGGTCTGTGCCTGGGGCAGAGCTGCCCCGCAGAGGAGATGAGCGTGTCCGCTCGCAGCCCAGCGCCGGCGTGAGTCATTGTCTGGGCTAAACGAAAACACGTGTCCAGCCTCGTACGCGCTCCTCACTCGGCTTGCAGAGGTGCCTGACACTGTAAACAGGGGTGGGGGGGGCCAGCCTGGCTGGGCTCTCGGGAGGGCCCCCATCCCCACCAGCTCTCTGCACCAAGGGTGCTCCCACCCAACCACAGCCCACCACTGCATCAACAGGCCTCCTCCTCCCCCAAGCACAGCTGGTCCCCGAAGTGGGGCAGCTGGGAGGCACAGGGGGCCCAAGGCCCCCCCTGAACCGCAGCAGCCGGTCCCAGCTCTCTGATGCCCTGCCTGCTGGCAGAGCTGCCCAAGGGGAAGGGTGTTAACAGGGACCCCCAGCCAAAGGGAGACACCCAGACGGCCCAAACATGTTTTGGTGTCAGCTGGGGGCTTCTGCCCAGAGCTACAAGGCAGCCACTTATCAAGCTGCACTTCTGCCTGCTCCCACCCACACCGGGTCCCTCTGACAGCAGCTCTGCTGGCAGCATTCCCACAGGCACCCAGGGCTGCCGCAAGGTCGCCCTGACATCGCATTGGACGCATTCCTGGGGGACCCTGGACCACAGCCCAGCTCCAGGGGGAAGGAGGTCCCACTCCTGCAGCCAGGGTTGCGGAAGGTCCTGGCACCGCCATCGCATCGTCTCCCGCCAGCTGCCCTGTGCCTGCAGCTCTCCCCTGCCAAACTGGGGTGCACCGCAGAGCTAAACACTGGCCCCAGTGCCTCGCTGGTGGCTGGTGTGAAGCTGTGCTGCCCTGCAAACTGGGACAGGGGCTCGGCTGAGCTGGGGGAGCGTAGGCCAGGCCAGGAGCTGCAATTCTTGCAGTTAGCGGGGTGGGGAAGAGGCCCTGGGGGCCTGCAGATGCCCATGTTTCGCACTTTTGGATCCTGAGACGTGTGCAAGTTCCTCCTGGGGGGCCACAGGCTGCTGCTGCGATTTCACAACACCGCTGGCGAGCTCGGGAAGGGCTCCCTGGCCAGAAAAGCCTGGGGCTGCTGCGAACACTTCCCAGCTGCTTCCGGCCTTGGGAAGCCAAGCTGGTGCTTCTGGCTCTCCCTCCTGTGCCGAGTACGGCAGCCCTCGGAGCAGGCGTGGGCCGCCAGCTCCCGGCGGCTTCTGTCCAGGTCCCGGCTCTTCCTGGAGCTGACAGCTCTGGGTCTAGAGGCACTGCCAGGGCCTGAGCCATGCACAGCCAGAGCTGGGAGAAGATACATGGCCAGCAAGCCATGTACCTCCTAGACCTGCAGCTGGGAATGGCGTGGGGCCAAGCACAGGGATGTGCCCACTTTACACCCGGCCACAGCTGTTGACCCCATCAGTCACTTGGGGCCACACTCACTTCCCCCAGTCCCGCCAGCAGAGCCGCTGTGCTGGTACAGCAGCGCCAGGAGTGGCCCTGGCTGCCGGTGCTTGAGGCCACTAAAAGCCTCTTCCCTGGTGCTACTGGAAGTGCGGGTAATGCTGCGTCCCCCTCGGTGACCGGGGCAGAGGGACACTGCCGCAGTCCCCTCCCACGTGAGACTTTCCCCAGTGCTCAGGGCTGTTCGTCACCCCAGCCGCCCACTCACCCAGCTTACGGGAAAAGGGAAGGAAGACCAGCTTCTGGGGAAAAAGTGTGATGAAATCCCCCATGGCTATGACATCGTAGACAGCCCTCGCCTGCCCCGGCTGTGACGCCCTGCTGTGGCCCCATCACCCCTAGTCACCCTGACCCCAGGAAGATCAGGAACGGGGCAGGATCCTGGCAGTCATGCCCTCAAGGATGCTCCTCCCCATAGGGATGATTGTCCCCACGTCTCCGGTACATTCCCAGTCAGGTGCTGAGGACATGGATCAGAGGTTCTCCTGCAGGGTGGCCCCAGGACAGGCCCACTGCTCCAGCTGGACACCCGCTCCTCCACCCGGGGAGCACCGCAGCATGGCGGGACACAAGGCAGAGCACAGGCTCAGGCTCCTCCTCGGCTGCAAAACCGGAGCCTGGATGTCACCAGAACCACTGACTTGCACAGAGGGTTTCTGTCGCAATTAAGGGCTGGACACTAATGGCTGCAGTGCGGGGCCTGCCCAGGGAACTGGCGCAAGGGGACTTCACCATCTGTCTCCTGGGCTGGGGCTTGCAGCACCCTGTGGTGGCAGTCCCTTGCCACCAGGTGCCACTGCCGAAACACTCGCACCACGCCTGCTGCAGCAGAGCCAACACTTTACAGGAGACGCCAAGGCCAACTACAGAGCTGGGAGCGCTGCCCAGCATCCCTCGGCAGAGCGCCCGGCTAGGAGCATGCTGGCAGGGCCTGCCCCAGCACCCCTCGGCCTCCCTCACCCCTCCAGTCCAGTGCAAAAGTCGGTTAAATAAACTCAATGCCCTCGTATTTCACGCTCCCAATCCTGGTCTCTGGCAGGAGGAAGCGCCCGTCCAGCGTGAAGGCCATGATGTAGCTGGCGATCTTGCCGTTGTCCTCTTCTGATTTCAGCGCCACGATGATCTGGTCGTCTGTGTCCGGGATGAACTTGAAGGAGGAGAAGCCGTGGGTGGGGACCACTTCGCCCACACGTCCCACCGTCACATCCCCGAAGTCCTGGGTGGAGCTCAGCAGCAGGTTGGTGCCTCGCCGCTCGTCCGCCTTCTCGTTGTATCGCTCGTGGCTGGCGCGGCGCGGCAGGAAGAACCAGCGCTGCAGGGTGTCGCTCCAGGAGGCTGACTCATGGATCAGGTAACCTGCGGCAGGGAGCAGTGTCTGACGGCACGGGGCAAATGGGGCACCTGCCAGGCTGGGGCAGGACTCTTCCCCGCTCCAAAAGGCGCCGCAGCCGGGGAGGTCGCAGCCCCGCACAGGCAACCACTGCTGCGAACGTTTCCGCCTCCTCCTGCCCCACTGTCTGTGCAGCAGCTCCCCCAGTCCCCCCCAGAGCCGGGCAGGGGCACCCTGGCACGACCTCCTTTGCCCACTGGCTAAGCCACCCTCGAGCTGCTCATGGCTCAGAAAGGGGAGAAAACTGGCCAGGGCAGGCTATGGCCTCTCTGCCAGGACAGGGGGAGGTCTGTGGCCTCCAGCGTCCTTTAAATCTCACACCAGTCCCAGTAGCTACGGGTAGGGAGACCTCAGCCCCAGAGCCCGCAGAGGGTATGGGACATAGGGTGGCAGGAGGAAGCCTCGATCAGTACCTGGGGGGCGGATCCCCGCTGCAGCCCTCAGCGCGTTGTAGTTCGCCACCCAGTTCTCATGGCCGACGTCACCCTTGTAGCCAATGACCTTCACCCACTCGGGGTTCTCGTTCACCACCTCCCCTGTCGTCGTCGTCCACTCCTTGCCCAGTCCCCCTACATAGAGGTGCTCGTCCTTCACCGCCAGCCACTCTGCCTTGAAGCCTGCAGTGGAGAGAGCGGCATGAGCTGGGGCTTGGCCAGGACACAGACATCACACCGGTTCCCACTCCCCTGACCGCCACTCCCCAGATGGCCCAGTGCTGGGCACAGCCTTCCCCCATGCAGCCAGCCAGTCCCTGGGCAGGAATTGCCCCAGGCCCAGCTGGGCTTACAGGGTCACAGAAAAGGTGCACCCCACCCCAGCGAACCACAAAAAGCCAAAGGCTTCACTGCTCTGCATCTGCGGGGCGGGACGGGGGAGCTCACCTTTACCCACTGTGCCGTCCCCGTCCGGGAGGATCACCCAGGGCACCACCTTGTTGCCCTCAATCTGGTAGACCACTCCTGTCCGGTCGTCCACAGTGTACAGCTTCCCGTTGAAGACGACCAGCTCGGAGAGCTCCATGCCCCTGCCCTTCTCAGCCAGGTGGGACTGCAGCACGCTCTCATCTTTGTCCCACTCCACTGTCACGCTGTCCCCGCTGTCCGACAGCACGAGGTAGCCCTTCTTCAGGTAACTGAACCAGGTGTGCTCCTCAGAGCCCCGGGACTGCGTATCCAGGTCCGCAATGACTCCAATGCGATAGCGCACACCCTCGGGGTTTCTCTGAGGTGGGGACAGTGGGTAGGTGTCATTGTAGCGGTCCCCTGCCTGCAGGCTGAGCTGCCAGTTACGAGGATTGGGAGGGATGGGCCGTGCCGGGGAGGACCGGTGCAGGCAGAAAAGCAGCAGCACAAACCCCACGCAGGCTGACGACAGCACGATGGCCTTCCAGCGCAGTCGGAAGCGGGGGTCAGCACCCTTGGTCATGGACGCGAGGACAGGCAAGCCACCCACGCTGATCCGGAGGGGGCTCATAGACTCATGGCAGGGCGGGACGGGCATCAGACTGGGGGCGAGGAGAACCTGGTGGCAAAGAGGGGAAGAACAGGTCAGAGAGCTGGAGCCTGGCGCTGCACTGAGCTCGGGGGGCAGCAGGGCACAGCTATGAGGTAGAGACGAGGGGGCCCATCCCCTCGGTGCTGCCGTCTTGCACAGGGAAGAGCCAGCACGCCAAGGGGGCTGCTTTGCTGCTAGAGCCACTCTCAGCCCCTTCTGAACCCCCCTCTGTACTCCCAGACCAGAACAAGCCCTGGTATGTTGGCAGGCATGCACAACCTGCTCAGCACCTCTACCTGCCCCAGGGTCCGCAGCAGCCCAGGCAGAGAGTTGAGGCACCCTGGCCCAGGCTGAGCCCCTGGAACCTATGTTGGGGTGTCCTGCTGAGCAGCATCCCCGCACAGGCCCAGGACGAAGGAGGTTCCCTTCCAGCAGCAAGGACGACCCTTGCTGTCTCCGGAGCAGGGTCTGGCTAGCGAGCGGCGAGCATGTCCCCAGGTCCCACAGGGATACCGGGAGACACGTGGCAGCTCCGCCCGAGCAGGATGCCAACGTCTGAGCAGGAAGCGCATTGCCTGGGTCCAAGGGACAAATACCCTGACCTGCCCAGCCTTAAAGTCGCAGCACCCCCCCCCACCCCTGCCAGGCCTGCCCACGGTCATAGCATCTCCTCTGGGCAGGACTCGCAGGTGGGTACCTTCAGCCCACCCCGGGCTGTGCCCACCGGCAGTGCCTCTCCCTACCACCTCCCTCTGTGCAGCGCAGGGGACGCTGCAGCTCCCTGCGCTCCTGCAGACGGGCGCTCCAGGTGGTGCAGGGAGCAAGCAGCCCCCCGGGACTGGAAGCTTCCCCAACACCACCCGCTCTCACCCCGTGCCACGCAGCATGGGGCAAGGACCCCCAGCCCGGGGCAGGGCAGAGGACAGCTGCCAGCCCAGCGCTGTCCCCAAAGGGCCCATCACTGGCCGTGGTGGGGCCCCGGGCCTGGTACTGGGCACGGGGCCGTGCTCCCCGCAGGCGGCCGTGCCGCGGGGCTCTCAATGTGCCTTTCAGCAGCCCGAGGTGTGAACAGAGGCTGCATTGAGCGTGGGGGGCCGAGCCCCGGGCAGGCGGGTGTGCTCCGGGCCGCGGCCGGGACACGGGAGAGCCCGTGAGGGACGGCTGCTCGCCCCGGGGCCCCGCTGTGGCAGGGGATGGACCCCGCGGGGAGAGAGCACCCACTCCGTCCTGCCGGGACCCCCGAGCATCGCCCTCGGCAGGGCCCCGGGGACGCCGCTCGGTGCACTGGCCCCCGCCGCGGCCGTAGGGACCCCAGCACCTGCCCTGAGCACCGCTACGGGACCCCC